CCCAGCAGCCCCCCTACCAACTATGGCCCGACTCCCTCGAGCAACCGGGCCGCTGCAAAGGCGGGCTCCCGTCAGCACTGGCGCCAACCATGACGCGCGCCAAGGTGACCTGCGTCAACCCGTCTCCTGCTGCTCCTGCTGCTGCTCAGCTCATCCTGCTGCTTCCCGTCCGGCCCGTTCCTTCTGCTGTTCATCAATTCCTCGTGCTGTATCCTCTGCATCCGTGCGTGTTGTCCAAATCCACCCCATCAAAATACATCATGAATCACAATGCGCATATTCATTATAGTTTTCAACAATAGCGTCGTCGTCAATGTCATCATCGCCGTCGTTGTGATCGTAATCAGCTCCAACTACATCAGCATCACCATCATCACCATCATCGCCGTCGTTAGATCACCACCATATCACCACCATCATCATCGCCGTCGTTATATCACCATCATCACACTTTGTCGGTCGCGTCCGCAAGCGAAAACGCAGGCGGAGACAGAAGCTGTCCGGGGCACGGAAACAGACCTAATTAGCTGCTAGGCGCGAAACGGGCCGGCCGGGCCAGCTCACAAGGCAGCTGCTGAGCCGCAGGGAACACCATCATCACACGCAGAGCATCACAACATGACGAAAGCCTCGGGGCATCACGAAAACCAGAAAAACCAATTGAATTAGATGTGATACATCGTGGTCCCAAGAAAAAACATGTTTTTGGAAGAATGTGTTCTGCACTCTATTTGGTGCAACGGGAGTGGCGCGATATACTTTTGAGCAGGCCGAAAGATTTTCTTCTTGAGGCCCACATGACATATGCGAAGTGTCGTTGACTTTAGCGGATGCGGGCGCAGCGATCATATCGCGCTCACCGCGGTCGTTTTCCCTCCTCCTCCCTCCTCCCTCATCTGCCTCTTCCGTCCTCCCTCCTCGTCCGCCTCCCTCCTAGGTAGGGAAACCCCTCCCCCGTAGAACCATAGCTTGGGCTGCAGGTCCAAGACTCCGTGGATCCATTTCCCCTTGGGGCCCTTGTATTAATTATGACGAGCATAAATTTACTCCAGGAAACGAATTGAATCCACGAACCTTCCACGCCAAAAAACTGGATCCAGAAAGCACGGTAATTGGATCCACGTGACTCTCGCACACACGTAATTGGATCCAAACCGATCCATGCGTTCCCATGCAAGAGGAAACAACTTTCGGTCTGGGGATGTAAGTCACGCAGCATGCGGCTTGCAATATCGTCGCGTGCGAATACATGTACATCTACACATAGATGGACATAAATATGCATTATACACATATATATACATGTGTATACATACATACATGCATACAGATGTACGTGTATAAACCTGATCATATACATATACATGTATGTATATTTACATATGAGCATTCGGATCCCGAATCGGAAACCGAAATCGAGTCGAATCGGACTCCATCGACATCGACTCGAATCGGATCGGCGGCATCGAAATGAGCCACGATCGAGGAGGGAGGAGGAGGAGAGAGGACAAGGAGGGAGGAGAAGGAGGAGGATGAGGGGAGAGGAGGGAGGATAAGGAGGAGGGAGGAGGAGGAGGAGGAGGAGGAGGAGGAAAAAGGAGGAGGAGGGGAGGAGGAGAGAAGGGAGATGAGGAGGAGGGGAGAGGAGGAGGAGGAGGAGGAGGAGGAGGAGGAGAGGAGGAGGAGGAGGAGGAGGAGGAGGAGGAGGAGGGGGGGGGGGGCGGGGGGGTCGCCGTCGGACGTCGGATGGAGCGCCTCGCGGTTCTCGCAAGCAGGGGGGGGGGGGCAGGGTGGCGCGAGTCCCACCCCCGCCACCAGCCACGCCGAGAGAGGGCGGGCGAGGCCAGGCTCGAGTCGGGCGCGTCCCTCTGCAGGAGGACAATGCAACCATGGAAAAAAAGAGTCCGGGGACGATTTGTTGTCACCATTCGGGGCAATGTTTGAGCATTGTTGCCCGACTATTTCTCCGGTCTCGTCCAGATCCCGCCTGTGGGAGGACACGCCCGACCCCAGGGGGCTCGGCGAGGAGGTCGCTCCACGCCCGTCGCGCGCGCGCCGCCCCGCGAGGCGGCCCGAGGCCCCCAGGCCCGGCCCGCGGAGGAGCGCGGCGTGCTGCGGGACGGGAGGGCGGAGGAGAGGCCGCCAGCCTCAGGCGCAGGGGCTCGCCATCGCTCGGACGTCCATTCCCCGTGCATGGTTCAGTGTCGTGTGAGGTTTTGTTCGCCAGATGATGAAGGATGCTCCTCGATGGTCCTCGCCGAGGGAAAAATGCACGCGTCCGAACGATGCCAAGGGGGAGGCCAACTCGCAAGGGACCAGGGCGGGGACCTGCACGTTGAGTGCTTCTCGTTTAGTGCTCGTTTTGTGCTTCGTTCTGCTCTACCCGTTCTCCGATCTCTCCCTCCCAAAACGAAAAACAAGACGCAGCCGAAGTCCAGCAAAACAGCGCTGAGGTCCGGCCCTGCAAGAAAACTTCCACAAGAAACCCAACCCTGAGACCCCAGGGCGTCTATTGATTGTCGATGTGGGAACGTCACCCTTTCCAAAGCAAAGCCATCGAAACCCAAGAACCTCCGGGCACCCTGGCGGCCAGCAGGGTTTCTTGGCATGGGCCCCCACTGTAAGACAGAGGCAGGATGAGGCCAAACTCGGACGAGGAGCCATCGGGAATCCGCCGACCCTGTCGGCGTGAGGAGGACGCTGTTCTGTTTGACTCGTCGTCGTCGTCGTCGTTGTCCTGGTCCTTGTCCTCGTTGTCGTCGTCGTCGCCGTCGTCGTCGTCATCGTCGTCATTGTCCTCGTCGCCGTCGCCGTCGCGTTGAACACCCTCTCCCTGGGCCCCGCCGCCGCTGCCCCCCTCTTCACGGGGCCCTCCTCCTCGAACGAGCCAGCCAAAGTGACACCAGAACACAATGGAGCGACGTCGTAATTGAGTCGAGGGAGATCCAGACTTCACGCAGGTCGGGTCTCGCACTTGAGCGCCGACAAGGCGACGGAGAGATGGGAAGGCATCGTGCCGCGCTAAATAATCGCACGTGAAATGTCCCCTTGCAGGTCAGATGTCTGCAGCCAAAGTGAAACCAGAGCAAAATCGAGCGACGTCGTCGTTGAGTCGAAGGGAAGCCCGTTCCCTTTGATCCCTTCCCTCCGCGGGGGGGGGGGGGGGGGCGGGAGATTTTCTGGGAGGAGTCCTGGGGGGGGTCCCGAGTCAGAGCACCATCCTACCCCAGGGGGGCCCGGGGCCCAAGAAGGCTCCGAGGCAGCCCAAGAGGACCCCAAGAGGGCCCAACAGGGACCCGCAGGACCACTGGTAGGGAAACAGAACGGGGGTCAAAAGCTTCAGGGAAGATACTGCGACCTGGCCCTTGGAGAAGGACAAGAGAACCCACAGTGGCCAACAACCCGTGGGAGGACACGGAGGGACCCAAGGTCCAGGCCTTGGCCGCAGACTCAGAGACCTCTCCCTCCTCCGCGCGGGCAGCGCGCGACAGGCCATCCGCGTCTCTAGCGAGGCATAGCTCAACAAACAGCGCTCACCGTACTTGCTATATCCCTTGACTGGATTGTACTATACGATCTTATTTCCCTACTCTTCCCACCTCCCCTCCGCAACTATTACACCGCATGGGCGCGAAGTACCCGCATCTCCCTCCCCCGATACTTGGTTGCGTGGGACCCCCCCCTCCGGGGCGCATGGCTGGCTGCGCACCCACACACACACACACACACACACACAGGACACACACACACACACACACACACACACACACACACACACAGAACACGCACCGCTTCCCACGGGTGCTCGTTCGCAAGGCGCGCTGCTGGGTCATGGACAGGTTTGCGCCCGTCGTTCGGCATTGCGCCCTCGCCCGAGCGCGAGCCGAAACTCCGGATCCGACTTGCTCATCGCCGTTACCGCCCCATCCTTCTTCCTCCTCCGCTTTCCCCTGGTCCTCCTGCTACGTTTACTCCTCCTGCTGCTGCTCCTCCTCCTCCTCCTCCTCGACCCTGCCACCTGATCAATCGCCCCCTCGCTCTCAATGCCCGATGTACAACGTCCTCCCTTTTTAAATGCGCATCCCACTTTGGGGTCATCTTGGGGATCAGGGTCATCTATTACAGCCTAGTCGGCGGATTCAAACAAATTCACTGCAGCGTCAATGCACGGGTGGGAGGGGTGGCAAGCTTGCCCTCATCCCCTCTCTCCTAAATTGCGCCCTACTCCGCCGCCTCACTCCTCTCCTCACCCTCCCTCTCCTCGACCTCCTCTTCAGCCTCACTCATCCTCTTTCTCCACTTGCGCGTCTCCGTCCGCATCTTCCTCCTCCTCCTCCCCCTCCTCCTCCTCCTCCTGCTTCGCGCGAGCGCGGTAAGGCTCGACTCTCCTCCGAGGGGCCTTCCAAACAGACAAGAGGGGACCCCGGCGCGTCTGAAGCTCCTCCCAGGCGCTGCTGAAGCACGGCGGAGCAAACAATGGAACCCCACGGACCCTTTGGGACTGCACTCGGCTGTAGGAGCTGAAATTGGGAACATTCTACCTGCCCAGGCCAGCACGAGTGGGCATTGAATGTGAAGTGGGCCATTTTGAAGTGCAGGGGTCTCTTGGGGTACTTTCTGGAGTGTCTGTGAGCTGTCCTGGGGCTCGCTAAGGGGGCGTCAGAATTTTTTCTTGCCCAGAGGACAGGCACAAACATGTGCAAAGTGCTCTGGCCAGCGCGCGGCAATCTCAGAATGGCCATTCCCGTGGGAAGGCCCGCGGAAAATGTAGCGGGCGGCCGAAAACACAGGCTCTGGCTCTGCCTGCGGCTCGGACAAGAGGCCAGATAGTTACAATAGGGTGCCGCATGTTCACCCCCTCGATCCCCAAACTCCCACGTCGCGATGGTTTCGCATCAGCACCCTCCCCCCCGCTACAGCGCCCAGCGGGGGCCTGGCTGGTCACGGGCCTCGGTGGAATGCGCCGGCGCCGACGCCGAAGGAGGAGGCCCGACCCGCGCCTACATGGCCACGCTGTGGTGGCACTCCTCCGGAGGGACCTGCCCCTGGGAGTGGTCGTCTTCTCCCAGCAAGCCTCCGACGGCGAAGCCTGCGCGCCCGAGGCTCTTGACGTAGAGGTTCAGATACTTGGTGCCCTCCTGCGCGCGCCCGTGTGCGATCTTCAACTGCACGGGCCCGAACCGCCTCCAGCGGGCCTGCTTGCCGCCGGCGTCCTGGGCGCAGTAGCGAAGGCCGCCCGCCAGCTTCGCACTCGCGCCCGCCCACGCCCCTGTGACGCTGACTGCTTGGAAATACATGTCCGTGCACTGCCCGCTAATTCGTCGCGCGTCGGCCTGCACGCGAAGCAACGCCTTTTCGGCGAGCTCTCCACGAGGGATGTTTATCAGAACGTGCCTGCCTGGCTTCATCAAGTCGAACCGCTCAACCGCTCACCATGAATGTTCTGCAGGTGGGGATCGCCAGTGGCCGCGCCGCCAGCACTGGGAATCGACGGGCTGGGCGTCGGGCTGGGCGTCGGGCTGGGCGCTGGACTACTGGAGGCGATCGCAGCCCCCTTCTCGTAGCAATGATGGTCGGCGTAGGTACCAGCGCTGATATATCCCAAAGGACCAGACTTCCAGAATGAACACTTGTTGTCTGTATCGCGCTGAACAAATCCGGCGCAGTCGGCATGACTGTCAAACATCGTCTTGCATCCAGGAATGTCGTTGACGAAACCTTGGCCGTAATTAGCAACTTCTCCATTCGCCCATGTGTAGATGGACAAGCCCCCACAGTGGGTGTTAAGGATCACTGAGTACGAATAGCCTACCACCGACGAATTAGCACTGGATTGTGTCCTCAGAGAAGTCGCGGTGGACGTGCTGTGGACATGTACCAACCAGAACCAAATCCATGATCCCTGATTGGCTGCCATTGCTCGCGACATCAAATGCCAGTGCCAACAATGAAAACATGAATGATTGACTTCGGTAAACAATTGTCTGGCCTGATCCCGGACGCCTTGAACCAAAATGCCAGCGGGAGAGGGCGTCGGAATCTCGGGACCTCTTCGGCCACCTTGCAACTCTCTTGGCCCCTCCCGCAAACTCTCGAAGACCATCTCCGGGTTATCCTGGGACGTCCTGGAGTCGTCTTGAAGCTTTCTTCGGGAGGTTCGGGCCGTCTTGAGACTCTCTGAAGCACGTCACTCGCACTCGCCGTCATCCGGCCTCTTGGGACCCGAATTGCCAAACATTCGGTCCGAGACGCCACGGAACGCCTCCTGGCAGCCCAAGCGGCTGGGAGGACGCTCGAAGAGGCCTCCGAGAGCACACCAAGAGGGCCCGAACAGGCCAAATGCCGCGATGTTCTTCATAGGTTTCTGAAGCATTCCGGAGTTTTCGCCTCTTCGGCCCCCCGACGCCCCAAGGCGGTCCAAGATGCCACCAAGATCGAAACACAAGGCCCCCAGGAGGTCTCCAAGAGGGCCCCCCAAATCGACCCAAGAGGGCCCTCGAGGCATCCCAGACGGCCCAAGAGGCCCCCAAAACGGCTCCAAGAGGGTGCCCACACGGCAACGACACACACGGGAGCCCGAACAAACATGTCGAGCCGCTCCCAGGCGGCCTCAAGACGCCCCCAAGAGCCACCCCCCGGGGACCCAACAGTCCCCCAAGAGGCCCCAAGGAAGCACGAACGGACCCCCAAGAGGCTCCCCAGAGGAACCCTGCGATGCTCCCAAGCGGCCCCCCAGCCCAGAACTGCCCCCCAGAGGCCTGCGAGCGCGCTGCGAAGAGGCCCCAGGAAGCATCCCTGAGGACTCTGCCCCACGTCAACCACGTCGCCGTTGCCGACGCCGCCCTCATGGTCGTCGCCCCCCTTCATGGTCGGCGGCGCCGGCCGAAAGGCCTTCCCAATGTATCAGAGACGGCGGGCCTGGAGGGCGTGTCGGACACCGCGGCCAGCTCCAGCACGAGCGGGAACGGTCTGGGAGCGTTCCTGGACGCTCACAAAGATTGTCGTCTGCGTCCTAGCGCTGCCTGATGTCTGTCGCCCTCAGAGCGGGTGTCGCGAAACGACGCGTGCCGCAGAACGATGGCCAGATCTGAGGGGTGGCTCGTTTGTCCATGCTTTCGACATCTGGATATGGTCGCAGATCTAATAAGAATAACAATAACACATGGCAATGATAATATCACGTTCGTTTGGCGCTTTTTGGAGGAACCTCAGATCAGGGCATCGCGGAAAAAATGAACTGCCGTTTGATCTGCGGTTTCCACCTCTGGATGCTGTTTCCCAGCAGCAGGGCCGCAAAGACAGCTCTCAGCATGAAGAGCTAGCCCCACGGAAGGAGGCGAACATTCCCCAGCGGGGGCTCGCCACGAGAAGATTGCGCCGTTGGAGGGTTCGTGTCGTGATGGCCATGGCGCTGTTTACTTACACCGCGGGATCGTTCAGCCTTGAACAATCGACGGAATGTCGCTCACCCGATCGTTCCACATTGGCCGATTCTGGGCCCCGGGTGGCTTTCCACCTTCCACGCCCGCGGAAGGGTCGCTGCCGCGTCGGCACGACACGCACCTACCGTAGGTTGTGTGTTCGCAGACTGCGGCGAGCTCATTTCCATTGAAGGGGAGAGGGGGAGGGGGAGGAGGAGGAGGAGGAGGAGGAGGAGGAGGAGGAGGAGGAGGAGGAGGAGAAGGATCTGGCCAGCTGGGGGGAGGGGGCGGGAAGGTCCGCGAAACCCTCGAGGGAGATCCAGACTTCACGCAGGTCGGGTCTCGCACTTGAGCGCCGACAAGGCGACGGAGAGATGGGAAGGCATCGTGCCGCGCTAAGCAATCGCATGTGATTTGTCCCCTTGCAGGTAAGATGTCTGCAGCCAAAGTGAAACCAGAGCAAAATTGAGCGACGTCGGAGTTGAGTCGAAGGGAAGCCCGTTCCCTTCGATCCCTTCCCTCCCGGGGGGGGGTGGGCGGGAGATTTTCTGGGGGGGGTCCCGGGGGGGGTCCCGAGTCAGAGAACCACCCTCCCCCTGGGGGCCGCGGGGCCCAAGAAGGCTCCGAGGCAACCCAAGAGGACCCCAAGAGGGTCCAACAGGGACCCGCAGGACCACTGGCAGGGAAACAGAAAGGGGGTCAAAAGCTTCAGGGAAGATACTGCGACCTGGCCCTTGGAGAAGGACAAGAGAACCCACAGTGGCCAACAACCCGTGGGAGGAAACGGAGGGGCCCAAGGTCCAGGCCTTGGTCGCAGACTCAGAGACCTCTCCCTCCTCCGCGCGGGTAGCGCGCGACAGGCCATCCGCGTCTCTAGCGAGGCATAGCTCAACAAACAGCGCTCACCGTACTTGCTATATCCCTGGACTGGATTGCACTGTACGATCTTTTTTCCCTACTCCCCCCACCTCCCCTCCGCAACTATTTCACCGCATGGGCGCGAATTACCCGCATCTCCCTCCCCCGATACGTGGTTGCGTGGGACCCCCCCCTATGGCCTGCGCACTCACACAAGACACACACACAGAACACGCACCGCTTCCCACGGGTGCTCGTTCGCAAGGCGCGCTGCTGGGTCATGGACAGGTTTGCGCCCGTCGTTCGGCATTGCGCCCTCGCCCGAGCGCGAGCCGAAACTCCGGATCCGACTTGTTCATCGCCGTTGCCGCCCCATCCTTCTTCCTCCTCCGCATTCCCCTGGTCCTCCTGCTACGTTTACTCCTCCTGCTGCTGCTCCTCCTCCTCCTCCTCGACCCTGCCACCTGATCAATCGCCCCCTCGCTCTCAATGCCCGATCTACAACGTCCTCCCTTTTTAAGTGCGCATCCCACTTTGGGGTCATCTTGGGGATCAAGGTCATCTATTACAGTCTAGTCGGCGGATTCCAACAAATTCACTGCAGCGTCAATGTATGGGTGGGAAGGTGGCAAGATTGCCCTCATCCCCTCTCTCCTAAATTGCGCCCTACTCCGCCGCCTCACTCCTCTCCTCACCCTCCCTCTCCTCGACCTCCTCTTCAGCCTCACTCATCCTCTTTCTCCACTTGCGCGTCTCCGCCCGCCTCTTCCTCCTCCTCCTCCCCCCCCTCCTCCTCCCCCTCCTCCTGCTTCGCGCGAGTGCGGTAAGGCTCGACTCTTCCTCCGAGGAGCCTTCCAAACAGACAAGAGGGGACCCCGGCGCGTCTGAGGCTCCTCCCAGGCGCTGCTGTAGCACGGTGGAGCAAACAATGGAACCCCACGGACCCTTTGGGACTGCACTGGCTGCAGGAGCAGAAATTGGGAACATTCTACCTGTCCAGGCCAGCACGAGTGGGCATTGAATGTGAAGTGGGCCATTTTGGAGTGCAGGGGTCTCTTGGGGCACTTTCTGGAGTGTCTGTGAGCTGTCCTGGGGCTCGCTAAGGGGGCGTCCGAATTTTTTCTTGTCCAGAGGACAGGCACAAACATGTGCAAAGTGCTCTGGCCAGTGCGCGGCAATCTCAGAATGGCCATTCCCGCGGGAAGGCCCGCGGAAAATGTAGCGGGCGGCCGAAAACACAGGCTCTGGCTCTGCCTGCGGCTCGGACCAGAGGCCAGATAATTACAATAGGGTGCCGCATGTTCACCCCCTCGATCCCCAAACTCCCACGTCGCGATGGTTTCGCATCAGCACCCTCCCCCCCGCTACAGCGCCCAGCGGGGGCCCGGCTGGTCACGGGCCTCTGTGGAATGCGCCGGCGCCGACGCCGAAGGAGGAGGCCCGACCCGCGCCTACATGGCCATGCTGCGGTGGCACTCCTCCGGAGGGACCTGCTCCTGGGAGTGGTCGCCCTCTCCCAGCAAGCCTCCGACGGCGAAGCCTGCGCGCCCGAGGCTCTTGACGTAGAGGTTCAAATACTTGGTGCCCTCCTGCGCGCGCCCGTGCGCGATCTTCAACTGCACGGGCCCGAACCGCCTCCAGTGGGCCTGCTTGCCGCCGGCGTCCTGGGCGCAGTAGCGAAGACCGCCCGTCAGCTTCGCACTCGCGCCCGCCCACGCCCCTGTGACGTTGACTGATTGGAAATACATGTCCGTGCACTGTCCGCTAATTCGTTGCGCGTCGGCCTGCACGCGAAGCAACGCCTTTTCGGCGAGCTCTCCACGAGGGATGTTTATCAGAACGTGCCTGCCTGGCTTCATCAAGTCGAACCGCTCAACCGCTCACCATGAATGTTCTGCAGGTGGGGATCGCCAGTGGCCGCGCCGCCAGCACTGGGAATCGACGGGCTGGGCGTTGGACTACTGGAGGCGATCGCAGCCCCCTTCTCGTAGCAATGATGGTCGGTGTAGGTACCAGCGTTGATATATCCCAAAGGACCAGACTTCCAGAATGAACACTTGTTGTCTGTATCGCGCTGAACAAATCCGGCGCAGTCGGCATGACTGTCACACATCGTCTTGCATCCAGGA